ATTCTGCCTTTTCAATATTTCCTAGGATATTTCATTTTTCTGGGAGAGGGCTGGATGATAACTTTCCACACTACAAATAAACAATCAGGAAACAATCAATATAAATCGTAAGGGTTCACCGACAAAAGGGCGAACGACAAAACCGCGCCCGACTAAACCGCGGTGACAAAACCGCATGTTCTAAAGCGCTCCGACGAATGAGCGCTGAATCGTGCCGACAACAGCGCAGCGACAGAAACACGCTGTAAAACTAAACCTAACCCTAACCCTAAACCTAACCCTAAACCTAGCCCTAAACCTAACCCTTACCTTAACTTAAATCGCCCCTCTGTCGACTGAAATCGCCCTTCTGTCTCCACGCTGTTGTCGACGCGTTGATGATGACGCGGTTTAGTCGGCACGGTTTTGTCGTTCGCCCTTTTGTTGGGTCACGCTCTTTTGTGATCATCCATTTGCATCTTTACAATCCAGATATTGCAATGTCATATTTGCAGAATGGACAAAGAATTTTTTTCATCACATTTGTGCTTTCAAAATCTGCTTTGCTGGTATGGAGATATCCTGCAGTAGATTGGGATGGAAGCTCAATGGGGAGTGATGGAAAGAAAAAATCAGTTATAAATGTTGCATTCTACTCATATATCCTTGGAGATCACCCAGAATTAGAATTTAAATAACTCAAATAATCTTGTAGACACAATGCTTTCACAAATTGATTTCTCAGTCTTGAAAAATGAAGAAAAATGAATGGGATATAATATCTCTTGATAAAAAAAACCCCTAAACTTTGGAACAATAACTAGAAACTGAATAAATGTAAAAGATGGTCCAGAAATAACCTACTACCCATGATTGTGCTTGTGCCCCATTGAAATAAACTGACTTCAATATGCTTGGCTGCAGGTGTATAAAGAGGTAAACCTTAATTATAACTCTTGAAGCCAAAATAACAGACTAGTAAGTATTAATCATAATAGCAATAATTATTATCTGTTGATTGCCCCTGGGTTCAGCTTACACTGTTTATAACTATAGAAGGCCAATAAACTCCTGATATACCTGGCACAGTGTTAACAATAAGGAACTGCAGAAAATAAAATCAGTTCCATGTTTTCATAAAAAACTAATCACCTACACTTTCATTTTACTGCTTAATAATAAATTAATTTTAAAACTTCAGTACAAATGCATTTTTATCTATTGTAATGCTCTGTGGCATTAGTGTGGTGTTTTTCACATAGTGCAAAAATATTATTTGAACAACCAGTTACCTATCTGACAGGCATAAATAAATAAGCAAAATGACCTTTTTAGAAGAGATTTCCAGACTGCGTTTCAACTGACATATGCAACATGACTAACCATAACAAATATAAGAAAATAAATTCAGTCCGGCAACTAATGCTAACCCTACCAGCAATATGGAAATTTGGTAAGAGCAGAAATAAAAAGAAAAAGTTTGAATAAAAGGACCTGTTCAACAAATGGATGAAAGATTTAGGTATTCATTGTCCCGTCAGGTACATTCCAAAATCAAATGATTGAAAATGGCCCATCGCTCTTCGCTATTCCCCAAATTTCTGATGACAACCTCTTGACTTCCAAAGCCCAAAATAAAATTATGAAATTATTTTTTGAATGCCAAATTTTTGCTTCATTAAATCAATTATTGACTATTCCAACTTTTCAAATAATCAGTTATCTGGCATTTAATCTAACATCTTCATACTAGTGGGCCATGTTCTCTATCACACTATCACAACTTGAACCTCTTCTTAATTTAATAAACTATATAAATAAATAATATAAATAAACTACTCTTTATTGCTTCTTAAGTACAGTAATTCATCAGAGCTATGATGATAATGATAGAAGGAGAGTAGATTTGATGCACATAATGCTTCACAATGCCTGTTTAAACATTTTATCGCATTTCCAAATTCAGATGAACAGAAATCTAGAGCATAATATGCTGACCACCACAATAGTTGAAGAAAAGCTCTATAATGTTTACTTATAAATGTGACAGTATTAAATAGCTTAAAAGGAACTGGAAAGGATTTTAAAATATTTGGACTGAACAATTGAATTACAGAGATTATGGACTAAACCAGCAACATTTTTCCTCATAATTATTGGAACATTAGGAACTATAATAATGCAATTGTAAAAACAGCTGACAAAGTTGGACTTATTTGACTTCATTTACAAAAAAACAAGAACCACATACATATATTTCAGTGATATTTGGACAATTCTTAGGCTTTGGGATAAAGCTTGAATTGACTCTAACTTATCAGGGCAGTGTTTTTCAGAAGAGAAATAATCATCAACGCCATCCTTTATTTGCAGTCTGGCTTGGTTAACAATTAATCTAAGTATGTTTAAAAAGCTCATGCCTTTAAAATGTTAATTCTACTTCCTTTCATAAAAATCTTTTCCTCAACTTTGTAGGTGTGTGAATAGGATCATTTCATTATTTAAAGCTAAGACTCTGAATTTGGAGGCTGTTTAGTTTGTGAAGTAAATTTGAAGAAACCATTTCTGTTGATTTAACTATTGATCAAATCAGTAGTGGGATTCAAATAATGTAACAACCTGTTCTCTGCCCTAATAATTTCTTCCAACAACCAGTTTACCAAACTGCTCAGAAAGTTAACAACCGGTTCTCCTGAAGGGGTGCAAACTGGCTGAATCCCACCACTGGATCAAACTGATTAAAGCTTGCAGTTCTGGTGGGATCTTTTCTGCCAGTAGCTATTCTTCTTAGGAACACTAAAACTTGAGTTTTTCTCCCTTCATTCTTCAATGTCCAGTTGCTGTGTTTTATAACCCTAGCTCTTTTATTACAGGTTAGGTTGATTTATATAGCTCTCTCTGTATAGAATAGATTAATGAATCTAGAGTAGCAGAACTACTGCTAGAAGACTTCTGAATATCATACACACTTCCCTGTTTTATTAGTACACTTAATATGAAAGATCAAGCGATTAGTCAGTGTGAGAAAATAATTTTTATTGCTTGTTTAGTTGAGTATGCAAAAGAATTATTTTCTATATTGTTAATGATTTACCTGATACAGAATGATTTTCTTTGTGGACAGATATAAGAACACATTGCAAATGTAATTCTTAATAATCAATGCTTTTATTGCTGCACACCATTCATCATTTGCAACTTGTGGATGGATTGAATCACATGGGTTGATTGTGTTTTAGTTGATTGCCTCTCCATAGTTTATAATCGGTGAGATTTTTCCAGGACTATGTGTACTGAAAAGTTGTACAACATTTAAATGGTGTTACATAGGAAAGTTGTTTCTTTTCATTTTATGGTCTTGCCTTATTAATGTTTACTTCTTTTTAATTTGTGTGTGTGCTGTAGTTGAGATCTCCATAGTTCATTATAACATGGGGCATTGAACAAAAACAGGAGCCACAAACATTTTCATATTGGCAATGTCAAGGAGTAAAAACAGTTGATATAAATGGCGACATCTGATTTTTAAAAAAATTGGCATGCAGGTAGAAGTTTATTGCTATCAGTGACCTTGGGTTCTTTTCTTTCTTGATAGGTAGATATGAAACTGCTGGTGCAAAACTCTTGAAATCTTATCAGAAATTAAGGTAAGGACAAGAAGGTTGACGTGTCCCACAGACGTTTGATGCAGTACTAAGTGCGTATTATCCCGTGCAAGAAGCCTGTTGAAGCTTTTCCTGGTAGTGAGTGTGGATAGAGTACACATTTCATTGCCATGGACTCTTTTTAGATACAGAACTTGTGCAACTTCAGCCATAGCAGTATTTCACAACTTGGCCTCATTCAGATATACAAGACTTGCAATTCTTGGAATTTCTAAGTCCAACTTTAGAAAGGCTTAAAATATAAGACGTCTTTGGCAAACTCATTCATGAAATCTCCATGTCCAACTATTTACCTGGGGAAATTGTTTCAGTGTTCCTTGTGTTACCTTTCAAGTCATCAAAAAGACTGCCTTTTATTTCAGCGTTGCAGTCTAGCCAAGTACCTCAGTGTGGCTCTGTAATTATGGCTTTTGCTATGGCCACATCCTCAAGAACATTGGGGGAAGGGAAGGAGTAAAGGGACGTCTCTTTAACACTGTGGCCCTTGACCCTGATACTGTAAGCCATTCTTGCAAAGGTGGTAAAAGGGATTAAATTGTAAAGTTTTGTATCAGTTTCACTGAAAAAGTTAAAGGTTAAAAAGATTAAAGCTTAAAAATAAATACCAAGGCTAACAGGAATGCGATGGACAGATCACAAATAGTATTACTTCTTGAATGTTGAAGGGAAATTGGGGAGTCGACTTTCAGCAAATTATTCAATCAAATATATAGTTTCAATCCTGATATCCTTTCCTACAGTTATTTAAGAATCATTTTAATATGAACTGAAATGCAAATGTTACAATTTAAATGTAATATCATACTTTACACACATAAAACAAGCATGCTTTAAATGAGATTTCTCTGGCATTTCATACATTGTCCTAATGTTTCAACCACAGACATGATCTAACTGACAAATGTTCTAATTCCATGTCCCAAAGGTGCTTTTTCAAGAGGCTCTGAGCTGAAGAAGCTTCTTGGATGAGAAAGAAAATATCTTCAAACCCCTTCCCCTCAGAACATCCAGTTGCCTCTTGATAAAACATCTTTGGAACAACCATGACCTGGATGACCGAGAATCTCCATAGACATTCTAATTCCATGATTCAATCACAGATATGATCTAAGTGACAAAAAAAACCCTTCCAGAATCTTTAAATATTCTTTGTAGGCTACATATATTACTTACCATGAGTCTAAGTTTATCTAGGGCAGAATTTTAAGCATTTCTTATGGGTCTTAACTCTGAATGATCAAGATACATTGAACTGTAGTATAGTCACATCATTTTTAGGCCAGCAATGGATGGATATATGGCCAAAGTGAGTGAGAAGCAGTAGTAACTTTCAGATAGTAGAGGGAAGACGTTGGAAAGCTGGGGAATATTTTTTTTTCTTATCATTTGGACATCTTATTAGACACTTAAACAAATGGTTTCAGTGGCAAATATTAGGGTAAAATAGTGAAGTCTAGTAGTTTATAGGTGACCTGCCTTCAGACATTACTAACATGTTGTTATGTCCGCAAGGAAGTGTGGATAAGGAAGTGTTATGACTGCTATTCTTCATGTTGACTTTAAGAAGATCAAGTTAGGCAAACTTCAGCATTTGAAAAACTGATATTAGTTTCAAACCAACATAATAATAGATTCCTTTGCTAATGCCATTGGGGAAACTGTGAGAAGAAATGTTATCCACCCATGAGTAGATAAACATTTGGACAGATGGATCTATTCCAAAGTGAGGTTCCATATTCCTATAAATCTTAGGTCAATTTTAACTTCTTTCTCATATCAAGAAGTAGTTCTTGCTCTTTGTTTGAACTGGGAAGTTACTGTAGGCTGAGAAGATTTATCTCCTAAGTTTTACATATATTCATTTTCTTAGTTCTTCCTAAGAAGGTTTTCATGATCCTTTGCAGTCTTTTAAGTTTCAGATGGAGATTTTAATATATTTAATAGTTTGATACTTGGTTTCTGAAGTTAGTTGTTAATGTCAATAATACAAAATACCATACATGCGCATTGAAGAGAAAGCAGTGCATTTTGTACAGGTAGTCCTCAGTTTATGACCACATTGGTGCCCCAAATTTCCATTGTTAAGCAAGACAGTTGCTAAGTGAGTTTTATCCCATTTATAACTTTCTTTGCCACAATTGTTAAGTGAATCACTACAGTTGTTAATAACTGTAATAATAATAACAACTGTGTTAAGCAGAAGTGAGTTGCTAATTTTTTTACTATCAGTTCAGGCACGCTCCCCCGCATGCGCAGAAGCATCCGAGTTGGGGGGGGGGCGGAGCTGAACCGTTAGCAACCCACCTCTGGTGGTGTTAATAACACGGTTGTTAGGTGAATCTGGCTTCCACATTAACGTTGCTTGTCAGAAGGTCATAAAAGGGTATCAGATGACTCAGGAACACTGCAACTACCGTATCATATACATGAACGAGTTGCCAAGAGTCCAAATTTTGATCATGTGACCATGGGGGTGCTGTAATGGTTGTAAGTGTGGAAACTGGGTCACAAGTCTGGGTCACAAGTCTGGAGTACTGCAATGTGCTCTACATGGGGCTGCCCTTGAAGAGTATTCGGCGACTTCAGCTAGTCCAGAATGCGGCCGCGCGAGCGATTGTGGGTGCACCTCGCTTCACCCACATAACACCTATCCTCCGCGAGCTGCACTGGCTACCTGTCGATCTCCGGGTATGCTTCAAGGTGCTACTTGTCACCCATAAAGCCCTTCATGGTAGTGGATCTGGGTACTTGAGAGACCGCCTACTGCCAATCACCTCCACTCGACCTATTAGATCCCATAGATTAGGCCTCCTCCGAGTCCCATCTGCCGGTCAATGTTGACTGGCAACCATGCGGAGGAGAGCCTTCTCGCTGGCAGCTCCGACCCTATGGAACGATCTCCCCGTGGAGATTCGCACCCTCACCACCCTCCAGACCTTCCGCACAGCCCTCAAAATCTGGCTATCCCGTCAGGCCTGGGGCTAAAGACTGTAACCCACCCGAATGGTATGAATGTTGTGTTTTTAATGACGTACTGTCCTATGTGTTAAATGTTTGTTCCCCCCCCCTTTTCAAGTTGTAAGCCGCCCTGAGTCCCCCCAGGGAAAAGGGCGGCATATAAATAAACTTCTAAAACTTCTAAAGTCACTTTTTAAAGCGCCGTTGTAACTAAACGACACTTTTTTTAGTGTCATTTGAACAGTCACTGAATGGGCTGTTGCTATATTGTATTTTATGTCACTTTTTATTATTATTTTATTCTAAATATTGGGTGGAATGTCTTTATACATTAGAAATTCCTGAATTCTAAAATTGGAGATAAATGATGAAATGTGAAGGAGACAATTCTGGAAATGTAGCAGATATATTTACCAATTGCTTTGTTTATGTTCTTTTTTCCTTAAAACTCTTAGCAAGGTATCGGTGATTCCTCCAACTCCTCCACCTTTTGCTGAATCCATCAATAGAACGAGTGCATTGGTAATGTATCACTCTGCATTTCTGTTTGACAAATCACCCCTACTTACTCACAAAGCTTTCAGCTATCATTGATTTTAAGCTTAATGGGTTTTCTTTTATCTTCTAAGTCTTTTTGTCTCCAGGAACTGATCTCTATGCATGTTTAATATTTTTTTTCAGCCTAAAGTAGTAGACATAGCTATTGATTTGTATAATCATCCATGTATTAACTATTGTATGGAATAGGGAAGAGACTACATTTAAAGAATAAAAATAGATAGGAGTGCCCTCTGTTTTCCTGCTGTTCATTTTTCTGCCATGCATCTCTTCCACTGTTAATCATGATCAGGTAAAGGAAGGGAATGTATCTGAGAAAGAGGCTGTGCAGTAGCAGATAGAGGTCCGCTATCACTTAGGATACACCTGAAATGCTACAACCGAGACAACATTGAATACAGCTGTAATACAGAAACTATTTTCTTGTCCACTAATGCATTCCTATTTGGTGTTTGGCTCGCCCTTCCTTTCATTTCAGTACTGTAGACATTTATTTACGTGTCTTCTTTTCTGGAAAATCACCAAGCTGAAGTCATTTTCTGTAGCAATTTCTTCCTTAATTTGGAAAGGAATTAATTTTGGTTGCCTTTTGTTTAGTCTGCCACACTCGGGGATATTGCAGGATAGTCTTTCCTATTGCAAAACAGAAATATTCATGGTTTATTCATCTGTCTCATCTTCATGATACATTTAATTTAGTTAATGAGGATGGCAAAGTTATTTGGTCTGCGTTACTTCTCTTCAATTTCCCAAGATTAGTTAACTCTGCACCCAGTTGATTTTTTGGTTTGTTTTTTTAATATAAGGCAGAGAGCAGTATTTGAAATTCCCATGACCTAATTCTGAGTCACGCAAATTATCATGATTGATTACTTATTATTTGTGTTGGGTAAATTTTGCCTTTTTGTTGTAATGGGAGAGCTTGGATTTCCGTTTTAAGGCTTGCATGCCAAATAAAAATGTGCCTCATTTTGAAAGTGTCTAAAGTGCCCATTGAGTTAAAATGGGTTTAAAATTTTTAATGAAGAGAGTAGTGATTAATTTTTCAAGAAAAGTGAGAATGTGATTGAAGTAAAGAAAACTAGAAAGCCGATGGTATATACTGTGTTAGAATTTACTGCTTTAGATCTCTTAGATTGAATCATATTTCTTATTTAAATAGTTTCAAAAATAAAATATAAAATAATTATAATAATCAATTACCAGAGTTGCAAAAATCCAAATGGTCATTAGATGGCAGCAAAGTGACAAAAATGTAGTGGTTGTTGTTGTTGTTGTTGTTGCTGCTGTTATTATACAATTGTATCACGGCGGCCAGTTGTTTCGCCAGATTTGGCATTGGTTACTAGTCGGGCCCCACCCAGGGGCCTAGGACGTCGTAA